TGGACTACGACTCTGGAGACCAGGCTTTGATCCCCCACTCCATCATGCATACCCCCTGGATGATCATGGGCAAGTCACACTCTCTCAGCCTCAGAGGATGGCAATGGCAACATCCCCACTCTGAAGAAACTTGCCAAGAAGACCCCAGGAAAGGTTCGTCTTTAGGTCGCCATAAGTAAACAAAATTACTTGGGTTGTAGAAATAATCCAGTCTGAGACTGCCCTGGCTCAGTGCTAGGGAATCCTGGGAATTGCTGCTTATTGTGGCACCAGAGCTATCTGACAGAGGCGGCTAAGGGCCTTCCAAAACTATAGTTCTCAGAATTCAACAGTATTGAGCTATGGCAGTTAAAGCGGTGTCAAACTGGGTTACTGCTGCAGTGCGGATGCACCCTGAGGCAGCAGGCAGCCCTCCTTTCCTTGGGACCCGAGCCCTCACCTTCTTCCTCTGCCGGGGAAGGAGCGCAAGAGGCGGAGGAACAGGGCGGGCGGAAGGATCGCATCACCTCCCCTTCCCTGGAGGCGAAGAGGAAAAAGGAGCAGCCGCCGGACGTCCCCAGGCGCTGCCTGAGTGCCTCCGGAGCCGGGGCCCGGCCATCCCTTCCGCCGGGAGCCTGGGGCCCGCCCTCTCCGGGCTCTGCTTCCGGGTCACAGCCGCGCATGCGCACTCCTCAGTATGGGTTTACCAAACCGACGGGTATACTGTACATGCATTCATCGAAGCCCCGCCCAAATCCGCCGACAGTTGGCGCATGCGCGCTCCCAAGCTCCGTTTTACCACGCCTAAGGGTGGTGCGTGCGCGCTCAAAATCCCCACCTTCCCCACATCGACGGGTGGCGCATGCGCACTCCGAAACCCCGGCTTGCCGCGCCTTTACGCATCCCTATCAAGGGGCCAAGTATTATTGTGCGCAAACCCGATGTCTGTGTTGTTTTTGATGCCCTGGTCCTTTTTTTGGGGGGGGGGGAATTGATATATTTTAAAATGCAAAGTTTGTAAATAAGGGGGAAAATGGAAATTCGAATGAGTGCCTCACTTGCAGTGCAGTTCCGTGTGCTTATTTATTCAGAAATAGGACCTACTATGCTCAGTGGAACATATTCCTTAGGTCCAAACCATACTGCAGAAATAATCCAGTTTGAAACCACTTTAACTGCCAGAGCTCTTTCTGACAGAGAAGGCTAAATGTCTCACAAAACTACAGTTCCCAGAATTCCCTAGCATTGAGCCAGGGCAGTTAAGGTGGCCTCAAAGTGGATTATTTCTGCAGTGTGTTTTTGACATTTGTTTACTTTCAGGGTTTCCTCTTTCCTGTTGCAGTTGTCCAGGTGTTTGTGGATTTCAATGGTTTGTTTTAAGGGCCAGCCATAATAATAATAATAATAATAATAATAATAATAATAATAATAATAAAATTATTTGTATCCCGCCTCTCTGTGTAACACAACTGGGGTGGCTTACACGCTAAAACAGGGGTAGGCAACCTTTTTGAGCTGGGGGCCAGGTTGCTGT